CACCACGTGATTCGTTTGCATACAATGCCGAAGGCAAATATGCCGTGCTACTGCGGTACTCCACTGACGGGATGACTTACTAGTTCTGCATGCTACAACTTCGCTTGCGATGTTGCTTGTTAGTCATGGATTAAATGAATCTTGATTACCAGTTAAAATGTTGCTCATTTGGCGTTGGTAATCTTTATTTGGAACTGGGTAACGCCGCAACGTTGCCAGCAAAAGCCTTCTGGTACTTCGTACTATGATAAAACTCAGTCAACATACATCAAGTTCTCTCAATCGCATCTTGAATTTTCAAGGTGAAATTTCCGGCGAAGCACTCCACTCTAGAGGGAGGTATGTCCGAACGGAACAACACCGTGCAGGCGGACGATGCTCAATCGTAGTATTCCATGTGATGTACACCTAATATGCCAAAAATGTTGCTGAACGATTTGAACTGGATAAAAATAGCAGATGAAAATTTGTTTACAAATAAAAATACTTAGGTTGCCAATGAAAACAAGCAATATGTTTTCGGCTGTTACCATGGTAGGACATGAACGTCGTGAAGCTAACGTCGGTTTATAACTAAAACCGGGCACCTTATACGAGGTTCGCAAAATAACATTCATTCTTTAAAAGTCACTTTATTTATTGCTAGGACGTATTCAGCCGTTAAATGTATTATTTCCAACCGTTTTGCGATAGTATTTTCTAGATTGGAGGCAGCATTTACAGTTTATTCAAAGTTGCGTTGGGATTACGTTGATACAGTGTAACAATGTCGGCGCCGGTGATCTCTTACCAGTGCGCAACGTAGCCAGAATAAAAGGCATGATCATTTGGCCACTGCTGTTACAAGACTGGTAGGAGGTAATAAATTTGAGGCGAGAGTATTCAAAAAACAGATTTTGGCTGTTGGCATGGTAGCGGTGGGTCAGGATTGTTTTTCCAATTAGTGATGGTACGACCTGCTTGTCAAGTATGAACAAAATCAGCCAAGCCAAAAAAAATCACAGAAGAGTTAAAAAGCCATTCCTGGTGAACAGTTACTCTAACTTTGGGGTCAACTTTCTCATTAATGAAAAAGATATCAAAAATTCAAATAGTAACTGTGTGCCCACACTCAAGCCGAGTACAATGAGCTATGTCTGAGGTGTTGTATCACAGGGAGTTGGGCAAACTTGATGTATTTTAATAAATTATTGAATAATAAAATGTTATATAACTTTTCTTTTA